ACCGATTATATAGGCCTATACTTTGATGTGGCCCTTACATCAAAAATGACACATGTAGAAACATGAGGTCCTAAGCTATCGCCTCATAACGACAGGTCCTAAACAGCAGCTTTACAGGGCCATATTTGCATATAAGCTAATCTGGCCCTGAAAATGTGAACATTTTTTTTGTAACAAGCATGAGTTGACAAACTTGAATTAAAAAACATTTATATTTAGTCGCATATTTTCAAAGTGTATTAATAAATTTTAATAATTAAAAGAATAAATAAAATTCTAAAAATTAATTAAAATTTTTACGAATTTCTAAACATTCCAGAATCGTAATAAACACAGTTCGGTCCCCTTTCTAGTGCTAGAACTATGAATAAATATTTAACTTATTTTAATTTGTTTTTTTATTTATAGAAAAATTTTAATTAAAAATGATATAAATACATTTTCTTTTAACTAATCTCATACATAAAGAGAAGGAACGAAAGCGCAGAGAGATCAGAAGGCCTAGAGAGTATGCAGAATATTAATTCCTTGAGGTTGGTCAGTGATTTTTATCCACTGAACCCCAAAAATTTAATATAAATTATTAAAGAAAATTAGTGAAAAATATTTAACCATTATTTATTCATGCGAATTTCTAATACAGCAGTTAAATAAACATGAAAATAAATCAAACATTCTACACATGTGAATAATTCTTATAATCTAATAAGAATTATTCACATATGAAGTATGTTTGACAGTGCATAATTTTAATACACTGCATGTTTCCCGATGTTCCTTTATAACGATATTTGAATACGGACTATACCTAAATTATTGGGGCCCACTAGTGGCAGAGTAGATAAAACTAGCGAATACTGGTAGTTGGTCGCTTGTTCGTAACTCACCAAAAAGCTGACCATGTGGAGTTTTCCGGGTTTTCTTCACGTGTTTAACATCTATATAGAAGTCAATTTCCCATAAAATAGTCCTCCCGGGAGGCATCCCCCTTGACAGATCATGTTACGTTGCCTTATTGCATCAATCCAATCTAAAAAATTTACAAGTATACGATAAAATGTACAAATTAATGACTTTTTTAAACCTATTATTTATAAAATTATACAATACACTCAAATTTAAGCTGATTACTGTATTTGAAATATATTTAGTTGTTTAATATTTGCATAAAATCTTAATATAATAAATTTAAGAATTAATTCATAAATTCGCGTATTTTGCAGTTTTGAGTTGAAATAAATGCTTCATACGAGAATGAGGATTCTCTTTTAAAATAATAAGATAAAATTAATGTTTTAAATAAGTTTTTATATCTTAATATCACATTTAAACATATAAATTGGTGTTAATTTTATTTTGAATGAATGTTTATTTATTTTGTTAATCACCCTAAATTTTAATTAGATGTTATAAAGGAATGTCTTAAAGCTACAATTCCATAATTTTTTATGATACAATGAAACCTCTGAAGAACGGACGTTGACGGAACATAAAATGTCTCTGATGTGTTGTGACAGTAGTGACAATGTAATTCTCGTCACTACTGTTTGTCCTTTCCCCGCTTTTTTTATGCATAAATGTGAAATAAAGGTTAAAGATTTGCCTTCTGGCATCGTGTTCTTTCCAGAAAAAGGGAGGGAAGGGTTAAACTAGGGCTGTGCGGTAGATTTTCTCAGTATGATTCAAACCCCTTAAATGTTTTTTTATGCCACCCCCTTACAGTGACGCCTGATGTGGCCGCCTCTCTGTATCATAGCACGGCACTGCCCTGGGTTAAACAGTAGTCTTTAGAATTACACTGTCTATAATATATCAGATTCAAGATATCCTCTTTCTTTGTAGACATAAAATGCAATTATTCAGAGGTTGCAGTGTTTTGGGGGTTATTTTGTATGCAATTTTGTTTAAAAAATTTCTGAAAAATGGCCGTTTTGGTGTGGTGCTATTTTTGGAGATTCGGCTATGCATTACCCTATATGTGCTATATAAAAATTAAAAATTTGCCTCTTTATTTGGAAATCTTTAATCATTTATTTCTCTAAATATCCGAAATTATTTGACGATCAGCACTGTACTAATTTTACAATTATTGATCATCTTAAATTAATAAGTGAAATCATGTATTGATATACAGTCGACCCCCCCTATAAACTGTTGATTTTTCTGTTTTATATGAATTCCATGTTGTACGAGTCACTTAGATTTTACAAATACATGTGCCAGGCTGTGAACGGCTCACGTATTTGTAAAATCTAAGTTACTCGTACAACATGGAATTCATATAAAATAGAAAAATCAACAGTGTTATAGGGGGGTCGACTGTACTTTAAAAATTCACATAAAGTTCTCATACATTTATATACTGCAACTATATGAGAGCTTTGAAGTATAAGAATACATGAATATATAAGGATTGTGCAACCAGTGTCAAATTGCTCACTAGACGTGCCTGGGGCTCCGGGTCTCGGGTATCTTGAAATTGGGAAAAATTAAAGTAATTTTATCATTGTAATAGTATATAATAATTTATAAATAATTCTATAGTTACAATTAGACGTTATTAGTTTGTGATGTAAAATTATGTGGAGAAGTCTTCAATCATCTGTGCCTAGGGCCCCGAAATGGTCTTAATTCACCGCTGTATGTAACTCATACTTAATCTCTGTACAGTGTCTGTATTTATATCTTGTTCATTATTAACTAAATTCATGTATTTTATATTTATTTACTTACCTTTTTACCTACATTTGGTGCAATTTGTCCTGATAGGCTACTTTTGCAAGATATTATCTTGTTCCTAGTAACCAGTATAATTTATTTATATTTTATATATTAATTTAAAACAGAAACAAAATAACAATTAAAACAAAAGCATTAACTTTAAATAATTATAAATTATTCATACATACTTTAAGAATAAACATAAATTTTAATTAATTTATAAGAAATTAAAATTTGTAAAAAATATATTTTACATAGGCTATATAAATATCTCAAAAC